ACTTAGCTGTACCGTAGTCATAACATTCCAAATAACCATAAACTGCAATGCGATAATTTATGAATTATTTTCAGAGTTCTATCCCAAATCGGACCTAACTTCTCCAACAGCTTGACGTTTATCATATAAACAATGGCGAAATTGTATACTTAAGCTTGTTATTGTTATAAAACCTTGAGTACGTGAAATAACGGAAATAAAACTAACCTAACAGATATGATCGCTTCCTACTGAATGCATTCACGGCCGATATCGATGACAGACACGCTTGCTTTTTATAATGCAATGTCTGCTTTTGCTATTATTAGGTGGTTGCAAAAATTCTGATCACTTTTCCGCTTGAAAAAGGCATTTATTGTGGAAAATCGATACAATATATATATATATATATATGGATCGAAATAGTTGCCATCACTTTCTACCACGTCGTGCAATAATAATTTGGGCAACAAGGCGAGAGAACTTGCATTGGTTTGCCAGCTATCCACCCATCCACCGACCCATTTTCGCACTTCTTCAACTTTCCGGATTCGCGTGCCAGCCAAGCCATGCTGCATCGATCTAAACAAATAGTAGTAAATCAGGAGGCGCCATATCTGGTGAGTACACTGAATGTGGCAGAGCTTCCAATTTGTGTGTATCCTTGAAAACTCTTGCAGCGAGTGGCCAAACAATGGCATTTTCGGCCAAATTCATGCCGTCACTTTTAAACTTTTGGACACAAACTTGGCAATTAAGAGATTTCTTTAAAGAAACAACAAAAGTGCAGAATTTGGAAGGAGAAGAATTTTGAGCGCTCGAAGATTAGTGTCAGTGTACGCTGGATAGATAAACCAATAATATTAAATGGAGTGTCAAGATCATCGAATTCATCAGTTATGTACACTGGTGTTTCCCATTTCTTTATCATGTTCACGTATAGAAATCGATGATAAATGATGATTTTTACAAAAACCTCACATCATATTGTATTCTCCTACGTAGAGAAGATTGAATTCTTTTCTGCGTTAGTAACATCTAGTCGTGGTCGCGAATAATATCGAGACAAAAAATCCATTATATGTATATACGATGGTTGCTATGAGTACGAATAAAAAAAACAAAAAATTATAAAAATTAAGCAAATTTGATAAACAATACGAATACGACTGACAGCAGCAAAAATTCCCTATAAGTTGTGTGCGTGTAGTAAAGGACTTTCTCCCGTCTGGTCTCGACGAAAGGTTTTTCTACCTTAGCAAACTCAATCACTTTTATGCTAGTTTTGGCTAAACTTCAAAAATACACCGACATTAAGCTGGGAATCGTTTCACGATAATGCAAAAGTTGATATATAGAACACACACACAGATATATATATATATATATATATATATATAAACTTATCTCCCTTGCTGGTTTTGCTCAATTTTGGCCTATAATAGTTTAAACAATTGATGTCAAGCGTCTGTTATCCACGCATCGTATATTGTCCACATATCCAGCAGCAGTACTAAGTCGCCTATCTCAAGAAACCATATAATCTTTTTTCATAGATAGATGCTACCCTAACTAATTGGTTTTTTTTTTTTTTTTTTCAAATTTGACTAAAATATCTTTAGTAGTTAATAAGTTGCACTGGCGTATGTGCTTCCTCATTACCCGAACCCATACGCCGAACGATGGCGGTATACTCATTTTGTTTTCTTCTTTTTTTTTTTATGGTGTATGTGGAACATCGAAAAGGAAGCTTCTGGTTGAAACATTGCAAGTTTTTGCACGCAGGTTGGTATTCAAAATATTTCTTGTTTCTTAACAGAAATTTGTTGTGTAAGTTGTCGCTCATTTGCACTCAGAAAATATAAAATTTTGAAGGCTGGAATTATTCACATTTACTTACTTGCAAGTCTTTAAATTATATATATATATTTTTTTTTTGTTTTTTTTTTTTTTTCGAGCCGATAGCCTGTGTTGCTAGTGCTCAATGTCTCTTTTTTTAGTCTAAGAATTCAATTCATTAGTCTAAAATTAAAATAATAATAATAATAGTTTTTTTTTAGTTTTTTTTTTTAAGGTTTTATACTTGTTGATCGTAACGCACACAAGACAGAATGTTTAAAACTATTTTCTTCCTCATTCCTTAAACGAATATGTGCTATCGGCCTAAAAATGGCTTAGCTCTAAAATGAATTTGGTAGGCGCCGGCATTAATTTTTTCTTAAGAATACCAGCGATATGGATACCAAATGCAAGAACTTGGAGAGTAAATTTGTTTGGATATGCGGGATTCCGTGCCCGCCGAACATAACTTTCAATTACCTTAAGTCAGACGAACAGCACAGTTCTGTAAATGCACAACAAATGTTAAATGAATGATGAAAAAGTCTTGAAAACCGAACGCAATGTAAGAAAACGCATTATTGTCGCATCGCTTCATGGAAACGATGCATAATCCTTATAGGCTATTACTTATGACAAGTTCGGCAAGGCGGTAGGAATTTGTAATGCCTCACGGGACGATAATCGCCGAAAATCGCATCATAATACGTTTTGATCGCAGCAGTATAACGTTCCGCTATCAAATCAGAAATTTTCCCGTGACCAAAAAACAGATTTACGATTACATAGTATGTCACGTTTATAGTTCTATAATTTTCCTTTGATGAAGGATGCCTTTCTTTTAAAAGGTATCTATAAAAAAAAAAATTATAAAAAATATAAGAAGAAGAGGAAAAGCTAGTTATAGGTATCAACAGACTCGATCTAAACTGAACAAAAAATATAACCTTATTGGCGTTGTATCTTAATTTTATATTTGTTGAAAATAACTTGAAAAAAGAAAAAAAGAAAAACAAAAGCATTTAATTTCGTTCTTCTTATACGACTTTAGTATTAAGGGAGTAAGGACAAGCTCAAAAAGGGAACGAACATTACATTTCATAATAAACTCGTTAAATTCCCATTTCCTAATAAATAACAATAACAAGCGATCGTTAAACTCAAGTAAGTAATAAAAGTATTCCCTTTTCGTACTATGTGCACGATTTAATTGAATATTTAGTTAGTTCATGCCTACCTTCTATGTATTATGTAAAGCAGTTTTATGCAAGTCAAATCACATCTTATCTCTGAAGAGCAATTTTAGCGGTAAGCTTTCCAAAATTCAAAACTACATAAATAGCATTAGGCTACGATTTTAAGGAGTTCGATCATCTTAGTTTACTATCGGCTAAAAGAATTCATTTACGTCTTACAGCATCCGTCATGGTCAATATGCTGTTTTTTTTTTTTTTTTGGGGGGGGGGGGGGATTTTTGGATTTGTTTTATTGGGAAGGATTTGTGGAGGGCGTTATTTTGTTGATTTTTCTTTAAAATCTTCTAAAATACCGCTAATCAGCGTCGAAGAAACTTTACTTTATTCGATTCAATGTACATTTCAGAAGGTTAGGTGTTCGCAAAAGCCTTATAGTATGATTCGGTTAAGACGAATCGCAAAAGATACTGAACGAAAATTCATCTCATATGAGATAATCGAAGTTTTCAATTGCAATAAATCAAGCAGAGATATGGATATTGTAGAGATTTGAAGACGGCAATATTCGGACAAGGTTTCCTTTTAGTGTAAAATGTTAAGAAATCGGTCCGTCTTTAATAGCAAACTCAATTATTCAATTGGATGGATGTACTGTGTTCTAAATTTTTGCCAAATATGAAAGCAATCAATACTGAGTGACAAGGCAACGGCAATTGCCAATAGTACCGACTAAAAGTGAAAGAAAAAGCTGTCTACAATATGAAGAAGCTTAAAAATAAAACTGCAATTCTTCAGCTTGCCAAGGATCAAGGATCGCTAACTCGCTCAAGAGAACGCACAGTCATCATACTTTTCGGATATTTCTAGTTTCGAAATGTTGTGCACTAATAAAAGTGCGCTCTTGCGAAAATACCGCGACATCGACATTTGCCTTAATCAGGAATCATTCATTTATCCCGCAATATATTTACCGTTCCAGCAACGGGTGATAATTTGCAAGTATGGATAACAGACAATACCTTAAATACCGTAGCTGTTAATTATTTCAAAAAAAAAAAAAAAAAACGAATGAATTTTTCATACTCCACAATATTCAATTATAAAACATTTTTATTTTCTAAATTCTTCACTTTCGATGTTATTTTATTTATGCAATTAAAAAGGTAGGAACTTGAAAATACCTCCTCCATTAGCTTTAAGAGAATCGAGAGCATCGATTAATCAAAGTGTAGGTCGTGTAAATTCGTTTGAGATTCATCGGGAAACCGAGGTTCACAACCTGATAATAGCTAATGTATAATATGATGATATGTATCTCTTGGATCATCAAATTATATAGTTATTGTTTATATGATTTCAAGAATACACTATCAAGTGTTTATAAAAAATTTTTTAAAAAATAAGTAAATAATTCTATGACACCGAATCGTCTTATGTCATGCTGAAGCGAGCTAGTACATAAATCCGATTGAATGAATAATCGGCTTTTTGTTCTTGTTACTTTCACTGAATAGGCAATGATCTGCGAGGCCTAATATTGGCATTCATATATTTAGGATCGATGTATCTGTCGTGAGGATGCATACACTCGAAGAGCTCTAAAAAATGCTTATCTCTTTTATCTTTTCTTGATATGTTTTGCAACACAATAATTCAATTATAGATCTTGCTGCCAAGTGCAATATGTTCCGGATTTTCCGGTTACGACATCTTCGTAAAGATAATAAAAAAAAGAGAAAAATTTTTTTATTATATTATTAAAAAGAAAAAAAGAAAGAAAAAAAAACAAAACAAAACAAAAATCTTGAATGAAAGTATAGCTCAGAGAACAGGCAAAGATTAATTAACTTTGACTATACTTTATGTCCTTTTGTATTTCAATCATTTCTATGCAATTATATACTATTCAGACTGTGGCTGAATAATAAAGGATATGAATAACATTTTTAAATAACGTTACATATACAACACATGTACAACACTTACCGTTAAAAGTCCCGGTTGTGAGTTATAAATTAAATGAATACACATACGCATATGTAATAATTGTAGACAAAAGTAAGGCTTGGACTATCCGTTCCCTTTAGCTTAGATGATGAAATTATCACGAAGCACAATAATCATATGTATACGATAGATACGCATGAGCATCCCACCATAAATAGGTATGGGCATGGATGGATATGAAGTCAAGGTATGGTTACAACTGTCACCAGCAATATGATGATTTTCAATGATAATAGAAATCAAACAGGAACATGCCGATTGGAATGCCACCATGACCACATACGTGCATTAGTTCTAACAACAGTAACAAAAGCATATACCATTGCACTTTATCTCAATTATTGTTGCATGCGTCGCATATTGGAGAGAAGCGAGCCGGTAATTATAACAGGATGCCAGTGGAAACGGAAAAAACGCGCACATACATACATACATACAGTTACGTATGCATCTATAAAAATGAAACTAAAAGGAATTTATTTTCTGCTTTACTGCTATACTGACAATTATGACATCAAATATGACAGCGAACCGAACCGAGTAGACGTCTATAGCATATACACAATAGTTATCACTGAATAAAGCATTAACGCACTTCTACATATGTAATGCATGCATAATGGATGAATGAAACAGAATAGAACATGCATATGCACGCAATCATTATATATTAAGAGTGGTCAACTATGTCGTATTGTGCACGACGGTGCATGCACGCACGTATGAAGGTACACACACACACAGACACACAAACACACACAAATAAATAAAATTATAAATAAATAAATAAATAAACACAAACACTTATACCCGCAGACACAAAATCATCCTGTTACATTGAATGGTAAGACCACAATTGATATGTTTTAACACCAAGTTAGCATCCGCTTTAGAATAATTGTCACCAATTTTGTTTTGTTTTGTTTTGTTTTGTTTTTCGGATAAATATGCATATATAAATATGCATACATATATATATATATAATTTTATTTAAATTTTTGCAAGTGTTAAATTAAAGATAATTTCAATTTGAATATTTTTGTTATTATTATTAATATTATTATTATTATTATTATTATTATTATTGTTGTTGTTGCGTTCGCTTCTTTTGTTGCTTTATTATTATTTTGTGCTTTTTACTGTGAACCGGCTATTAATCAATCGTACTGAGCATAAATAATGAGAATTCAATGATTGCTATTGCACTTGCACTTGATTTTGACACTTGAACTTTTTCTAAGCTAATATATATGTAACAGTATGTAACAGTTCATATTGAAGCTTTGGTTGAACGAATCGCCGGTGACAACGTACGCTATGATTGATGGTGGCAGTGGTAGTGGCGGCAGCGTTAATAGTGATGATATTGATGGTAAAAGAGTATGAGTGGAAAAAACTACCAGATTTTGAACGTGTTCGCATGGCCGCGCATACATACACGTAAATCCGTATCCGGTACCGACGTCTGCAAGATACAATTCGCAACTAATACTAAATCCTTTGAAAGGATTATAAACGCTATTGACTCATCAGCATTCGGCCAAGCACAGCAGCATCGTTATCTTTGCAAAGTTTTGCCTCGTCTAACTTCGTTGCATTACGATTTACGTTCTTTTGCTGCTGTTGTTATACTTTGCGTGACTTTTTCTTCTTTTGTGTGTTTTTTCTTTTTTTTTTTTTTCCTTTCTTCTTTTTTTCTGTTTTGTTTTAGAGAAGCAATTACGAGAGCTTGCTGAGAATAAATTGCATTCAGAACAAACCGTAATGCAAACATCGTATTTCCACGACCTGTTTTATGTAGAGGTTCGTTTTGTTTATTCCAGACCATCATTATTAAGTGTGTTAGATTTTCAGTCGAAAGGATTATAAATAGGTTCAAAATAGAAGTTTTTAACTTCCTCTCTCTCTCTCTCTCTCTCTCTCTCTATCTATCTATCTATCTATCTCTCGCTCTCTTTCTGTTCTATTCCTTAATGTTCTCATTAATATATACGATGTCAATTTCATTTACCATTTCGTTCCGCTGACTTGCGTTTGCTTTATACTCGAAAACTCTCTCGAAAGTTTCTTTGGGTAGAAAGCTTTTACGCTACACATTGTTTTCCCTGCCGTCATATCAATAACTAGCACGTGTTTAACTCATGTTTTTTTGGGATCGCCTGGGGCTACAAAATGCGTAACCTTTTCGTCAATGTTATTGCTTTTGTAAACATACGTATTTCGCTGGCAAGGGACTACGAGTTCACAAATTTTTTTTTTTTTTTTTTTTTTGCCTTTCGAACAGTCGACTCAGTCAGGTATTCATGATCGAGAATCAACTTGAATTTGATAGTCAATGTAATCATTGCTATCTACCCTCTATATGGATTTTTACAGTTGTGAATATTTAAAAAAAAAAAAAATTAAAAATACGGGATTAATGCATATAGTTAAGGTACAAGGTAAAAATATTATAATTGGGGTAGACCGATCACTAAATACTCTACGTTACTTTGCCTTATATAATTATTCACTTATTTAAATAATAATACACCAAAACTTATACATTAGTTCATATTCAAGAAAATGTCGTGTTTTTGTCGTGAGAATCCTTATACTGGAAGGTGAGGAAAACGTCAATTGACTTGATTCAGATTTAGAGAATTGCATTATCGCTTTCAAGCTTTCGTTATTCTGCAACTATTTTCGTCATAAAGAGCTACGAATCAGACTTTGTTGCCATATAAAAATTTACTCTTAGATTAATATGATTCAAGTTCCCTACGTTCAATTACTATTGTTGACTAATTTCCATCATAAAATATTACAAGTTAGACTCTTTTTTTTGTCAAGAAGTTAACTATTTTTGAGGAGCCCTTTAATTTGGTTTCGCTGATTTTTATGTATTATGGATCATGAAATGTTAAAAATTAGGCCTTTTTACCATATGAATAGAAGTAAATAAAAAAAACTTCCGTACAGAATACCGAAATGTTATTACTTGGAAATTTGCCAAATGCCTCTTGTTTATCTCGTAACGAGTTCTTCAAACTAAGACGTTATATGTGGAGTGGTCGACTATGTGAATGGATTGCGATCCGTATTCAAAAAGCTCCGTAACTGAAACCAAAGGAAGTGAAACCATTTTAAAAATTTGAGATTTGTGCTTCAAATAGAAAATTTGGATACACATCAGACAGACAGACAGACAGACAGACGAGCTTAAGTCAGTTTAAAAAATGATTGAAATGATCATGATGAAATCCATTGATGGGCCTATCTGAAGTTCTTCCGGGGGTTACATGCATCTGCACAACTGCAACTTAATACACCTTACACCACAAATCGGTATTGATTTCGATGTGCGGTCCAAATATAATCATGAGATGGTCATTAGAGAAACCAAATCAACCTAAAGAGCAAACATTCAACATTCATGAAGGGGCGAAGCCACGCAGAAAAATAATTCTTGCTCTTCAGTTTGATCGGTTTGTGATTTAAAGCTCAAAAGGTAGATATCTTCATCTGTTATATACCGATTTTAAATTATTTCATGCAGCAAGTATCTATGTCAAATATGTGTAACGAGCATATGATCTAACTTATTCGATAGCCTTTAAGCCGATACTTTCTTTAAGTAAACATATCTCAACCGTTTCCTTTTTGGACATTGCCAGTTTCGTGTATCTCGATCTATTTCCTCTGAAACCCAATCAATTTAAGGGGTAAGTTTTGCGAATCGTCAAAGTCGCAAAAATTAAGATAGGAGGCTGTGATATGTGGCCCAACATTTTTTGATTGATTAAGAGTAATATGTGGTTAAAGCATGAGCGTCACATACACGCCCACAATGTGAAAAACAATAAAGCAAGCTTATCAAGTTTTCGCCTATAACTTTTAGTCCCGCGCATTTACTTTGGAAAAGTTGATACCCAAGTGTTCGCGAGAATCACCTCGGCATGCATATTCGGTGCAAAAATTGTGCCGATCGGTTCACTAACAATTTCATAACTCACGATTAAATAGGATAGTTAGTATTTATATACGATTTTCACGTTCACGTTTGACTTCCTTTTGTTATTATACTATCTGCTACTGTTTGATACTACTAGATTTACCGTTATTGACTATATGTAGTTTTTTTTTCTATAGAAATTCTCTTTTCTGACGGATGTATCAAAAAAATCGTCTGTTTGCAAACACCACCGTTTACCTACCCATTCTAATCATAAATCAGGCAATCCAGGCGTTCCTCTGCCCGATCTAATGTCCGACAATAAATATGTCTACCCTAACGCCTGACCATCTATACGTTCAAAATTTCCTCTGCACATACTAGCGAAGTGCCCGCACATCGGTCGACTCATTTTTATGTTCGTCATTGCACTGCTTCTCTCCTTTAGTTATTGGAAAGATCAGATAATGTTTGTCCGTCCGTCATTTATCTATGATATCAATTTATTCCTTTGTTAGTGTACCATTGCGGAAATTCTAAAGGAAGTGAAGATTGCTTAAGAATACAACCACAGCTTATAAGAGCAATTCTACGTTTAATTTTAATTAAATTTAATTAATTGATTAAAAAAATTTCAAAATAAAAGCCACTAATTTCCTGAAAGTCAACAAAAACCGAAATCAAAAAAAAAAAACTTCGATTGAAGATAGAAGAATACAAATATGGTAGAAAGTTGTTCCCGATCAGCTCAGATATACTGGAAATGAAACTATAGGTTAGGTTTATGTTCGCTCGAGCTGATGCGTACACAATATTTTTTCTATGCTCTATGATGGATTCACATGACTCTCTTACTTATTTTATCCAAAATATATTCATTTAATTTGATCTAACGATCAAATCGTTTTGCTAATGAAATCATAATATCATTGAAAGATATTCGATTATTGTTTAAGTTTTTCTGTCCAAAATAAAAAGATCGAAGCTTCCTATTGTAGTGATGATGATATTGCATCTAAAAACAAACGTATTAAGCGAGCACATTAGAAAATATTGAGCCTTTAATGTAATATCTTTCATTCCAATTTCATTCATTCCACTACTTCTACTTAAAAACATTAACAACATGATTAGACCAGAATGTGGTCTAAGGCTGGGATTATAATTTTTTCGATTGTTCAAATTTCAAGATATTTCTACATACGTACATGTGTATATATTTAAATGTATTACAGTTATGCGGGAGATCGGGCACATGTAAAAGTATTTACGTAACTAAAACATAAAATGATTTTACTGCTGGTTATGTTTGACATACTGATGTAGAATTCAAAGGCAATGGTAAGGCTTTTCAATTGTCATCACACACATCCTTTTGAAACGTATAATAATAATAGTAAAGTATACAAATGACATTTGTGCGTATGTTTATATTTATATTCATTCATTCTTAGATAGATAGATTCGTATACGTTGTCTATCTATACATAAAGCTAGAAATGGTGCGAGCGAAAATATTGTATGAATAAGTATTTCGTTGAACAGTTTTTTTTTTTTTTTAAATTTTATGTTATCTTATCATCAAAATTTTTAGATTATTTTTATCGAAAA